AAAAAACAGATGTTCTCAAAAGATTTTATATCTTTTTGATAATAAAGTCTATACACTTTTCTTAACAACACTGGTTCCTTAACCAGCAGAGCGAGCAGCAGCTACTACTTGTTCTCTTTTTCTAGTACTACCACTGTGCTATGAACCCATAGGTCGATAATATTAAATATTTATAAATATCTATTTAGGAATATATATAGTAAGATTTAAAGAAATAAAAAAGAAAAAAAAATATTAAGCAAAAAGATAATAAAAGAAAAATCAATTATAATTAAAATTTTTAATATTATTTTGATATCAAGTTAGTATTAAATTTACTATAAGTTTAATATAGTAAATTATAATTTATATATTAATTTTATTATAAGTCAATATCAAATTAATACTATTTTAATATTTGATTTGAAACTTTAATTTTATATCAATAATTAAAGAAACTAAATATAAAATAGAATAGAATTATTGATATTTGAAAATCTATATTATTATAATATTAAATACCTTTTGAAATTAAATATTAAATATTATATTTATATTTAAATATCACTTAAATATATTATATGTTTTAGGTATAATTAAAAATTATAAACTTAAGATATTTCAAGTTTCAGATATTTTAAAAAAATATAATAAGAACCGTTATATTTTTATAATATTATTTCTTCTATTGGCTTGTTTATGCCATATGTATAATCATTTTGTATTATTTACTTTATCAATAATACTGTTATATAAACTTTATAATTTTAAAATCATTAACAAATTTAAAAAAATATTAAAAATACAAAAGCTAATAAATATAGTAATTTTATTTTTTTCAAAATCAAGTTATTCTTAGAAATACTTTCTACAAGAAAAAATTTCTACAAAGTTATATTCAGATTAATATTTAATTAATATTTGAATTTATATTGTTTCAAATATAATTTTCATATTAAAAATACTCAACATATCTTCAAATATTAAATAGTATTAGAAAAAATCAATTAATTTATCAATATTAATAATAATATTTTTTATTTCAAAAATAATTATAAACCAATCTCAAGTCAATCTCATATATTTGGCAATTAACAAAACCAATATATGATATAATTAATAATATTTTTTTTATAATTATTTTTTTAATTGAATTGAAGTATTAACAGAAATCTTAATTCATTTATGTAGATTAATTTGAATATTTTGTTGTACTATAGTAAATATTTCTCTTTTACTAATATTAAATAAAACAATAATCCTTTTAATATTTTAATAAAAAACAATTATTCAGAATATTACCAAATTGAAATTATCTAACAATATCTTTTTTATTACTATACAAATCTTAACCATTATTAATTTATTAACTATAGTTATAGATTCTTATATTCAAAATAAATATAATTTTTCCAAATACATTATTAAACTAATATCTAATTATTTTAATTTTCTTTTATTCAATGTTAAGTAAATAATTATAATTGCTTAGAACCACTTGACAAGATATATTGTTTTAAAATTTCTTTTCAATATTAGTTAAGTGATTACTGTAAGTAAGCTAGCCTTTAACTTATTATATTATTATATATAAAAGATATTTTTTTTTTTACAATGTATATTTAATATTATATAAATTAAATAAAGAAAAAAAATTATCTACAAAAATAATAATAATAATTATAACAAATCTAAAATATAAATATATTTTATATAGAATATATGGAATAAAAATAAGTAATTTATAAAAAGTAATTTGATTAAGAATAAATAATAAAAAAGTTTTTTAAAAAAAAAAAATTAAAAAAAACTTATTTCAAACATTTTTTTTTTAGATTTTGCCATATGCATCTTTTGTTTTTTTTTGCTTTTTCGAGTATAATAATTACTAACCAGTTGAAAAAAAGATTATATAATATTTAACATATCTTAGATTTAATTTGTATACTATTATTTATTATTTAACAAAAAGAAAGAAAAAAGAATTTTTTTTAATATTGTTACAAAAAAAGTTATTTTTATATTTTTATTTATGGTAATTAATTATTTAAATGTATGCATAGATAATTCTGGAAGAAAATCAGCCTGATTGAACTGATTGAAGGTTAATAATTCTGGAAATTAATTACTAACTACGTTACGTATTCAACCGGTTTTTGCGTACGTATATACGTAATAATATTGTGCAAAAAATATAAAAAGCACCGAAATTTGATTTTGTCTGCATTTATTATATACTGTATTTCCACTACGAAAGCTCTTTAAAAAACACTTCAGCATGGAACTTTTTGACGTGGGTCGACATTGCGCTAACCCTGACTGTAAGCAATTAGATTACCTTCCCATTAAATGTCAATATTGCAAAAAGAGTTTTTGTTCGGAACATTCGAAACCAGTAGAACATAATTGTGCCGATGCACCCAAGGGAGATGGCGAACGGGTTCCAATTTGCCCTTTATGTAATTCTCCGGTCCCCGTCAGTCGTGGCGAAGATCCAAATATAAGGGTATGCACTTAAAGATTATTAGAATGAAACTGACAATAATGATATTTCCTAAAAACATATATTTGTCCTTAATCAATGTAGATGGATAGACATATAGCGAATGACTGCCGTCCGCCACCTGCAAGCACTTCAACAAAACCATTTAACTCATGTTCTTTCAAAACCTGCAAAGCACGAGTTGCCGTTCGGCTGGTTTGCTCTGGATGCGGCAAAACTTATTGTATTAAACATCGATTAGAGCCCGATCATATGTGTGAAGAAGTGAAAAAAGAAAACAAAAAGTCCAATATTTCCAAATTTGAAGCTAAACCGACAAAACTGACAAATACACCATCTACATCAAAGAATAATAATACATCAACCAAAATACCAAAAACTAGAACAGTCAAAGCTTGGGTGGGAAAATTATTTAAATAATAATAGGTTAACATTGTAAAATTAATTTTCAAGTATATTCTTACACATTAAGTTATATAATACCGCACTTCAAACATTTTAGTTTATTTCAGTGAGATACCATCATGATTAATATTGCATAACTTGTATTCCTAGATTTTAGACATTTGAATAATAAAATAGAAATAATCGGTAGATATCACATTACGGTATAATGTTGTTTTTATTTGGTCTTGTGCCAACATGCAGCCATAATATAAAACCCTGCTTAGTATTCCACTTCGCTTATCAACCTAGGTGGTGTCTCATCCATTATTGGAGTCACGTCCATCATCTTTGTTGGAGTTTTTTCAATTTCTTCTGCGAATCTCACAGCGCGACCGATCGAAGTTCGTGCAACTGCCTTCGATTTCAAGGCCGATCGCCCTGGTGAGGGAGAGGAACCTTGTGGTGTCCTTTTAATTTCCTTCATTGGCATGAATGCTTGTTCTTCCGAGACATAAAGTGGAGTACGTATGATATAAGTCATACGTTCGTTATCCAAATCAGTGTCTTTTGACCTGACGGGTGATGGTGTTGAAGGGCCGTCATCTTCTTTAACTATATTGTCGGTCATTTCATTTATAAAATAATATCTAATGGAATGGCTGATAGAAAGAAACTAGATATAGTTTACATAAAAAGTTCAAAATTTGGCATACCATATCTTAATTTTAATTCAATTAATGATTTTATATCATCAGATTGATCCATCAAAATAGTTTCATCGAAACAAAAAGATGGCACTTTAAACGTGACTCGTGCTTGCCTACATAAAAAAAGCATGGATTCAAATTTAAAAATCCATTTCGTGCAACTTACACTTCATATTTTGAAAATAAAGCCAACCTCTCCGGAAGATTGTTACTAAAAGTTGTAGGTATTGTCCTATTAAGAGTTATTCGTTAATTTTTTAATTGCAATTTTTATAATTAACAAAAATTATTCCAAAATATTTACCTTCGCTCATCTCGTAACATTCGAATAGACCCGTTTATTTCACTCAAACGCAAACACAGAGAATTCTTGAGAGAAGATAAGCTTCTAAGTTGTTCTTTTTGACCAACAAAACATTCTTCAAGTTTTTTGCAGGTTGAAGGAAGTTCATCTTTGATAGTCCAATCTTTGCTATTAGTCCCAAACCTTGATTCTTGAGTACGATGGCTAAAGATAGGATTTATTAACTGTTTATTCAAAGTTTTTAATGTGAACCTCCATAGTTTCAATAAAGATATTAGATTCAATCGACCGTTTGAGAAAGGCACTATCTGAGCCTGATTTGAATTATGTACGGAATTCCAGTGTCATTACACATATAATGGAAAAAAAAAAGAAGTCAAAATTGTGAAATGTTACCTTTTGAATTTGTTTTTCCCACATGGTCATCATGATATCAGGAACATGTATAGAAATTGATTGTCCATCGAGCAGTCGTTTGTTTGCACGATCGTTCATTACGTCCTCAACGATATCTATAAGATTTTCATAATATATTTCCAGTGGAAAGATTACTTATTAAAGATTTAGATCCATTATAGTTTATACCTATATATTTTTTATTTTCCTGTATCCAGCCTAAGCATGAATTCCAAATTAAACGAACGCCTTCAAGATGTTGAATTCTCATGGAAGAAAGTTTTTCAATGGAATTATTAATAATCATTTCCGATGGGTTCTTGGACTTACGAAAATCGTATATCTGACTTTCTAAATCATTCTAATGATGAAATTTGAAATTAGAAGAATACGGTAAATGAAATAATGTTCAATCCAAGGTGAAATATGATTTATACATTTCTTTTGGTAACATCCAATAGACGTCGAGATAATTCTTCTGCCATGAATCTCCAACGGTCTTGACATGCTACCCTCTCTTTTGTCTCCTTCAAAAATTTATCTGCTTGCATCTTTATGTGTATCTACTTGATATTAAATCAAATTATCAATTAAGAAGTTTAACATTGATATCTTTTAAAAAATAAATAAATAAATAAAGCATTAATACCTTTAGAATGGTTCTTAGTAATTCTGGCGCCGATTCTTTAAGGACAGCGAAAGCAATGTGGGGAACTTACACATTATAAGTTAGTTTTTTTTTGTGGGCCATTCGATCATAAGTCTGAATCTGACATGTACCTCCACTATACTGCTGGTAATCTCTCTCCAACACCACTTTTAAGACGTAATTCGAGAATACCATAATTACGCGTTCAAACCTATTGAATATAGGGTAAATGCGTTGGCAAGCCAGAATGACAACAACAACTCCCATATTTACCGGTCACCTTGACATTCATCAAACGCACTACGTCGCAGAATAATATCTTTGTTTCCGAGGAAACCCTCCTTTTTTAAATTTTCCAACCAAGTGTAAGCCACATTTCGAAATATTTTACTCGAGGTTAGATCAAGGCAAGGCCAACACGTAAATTTCTATTTGAAATTAAGTTACGAAAAATCATTTTTTTAATATAAAGAAATCATGAATTGTGCTAAAATATTTCAAATGCTTACCTCCTTTGCCTGCGCTTCGTCCAATTTCCTGAATAAAAAATAAACTATTAACTCCATAGCTTTTACAGAATTCGAGTAGCCTTTCGCAAACACGTCCTTATCAAAATCGATAGTTGAGTATGCACCAACAGCAAGCTCTGAAGGATCGAAGTCCAACAGTACAAGGTTTGACCAAAAAATTGATCGTGGACATAAGGGTTCTGAAATTAGGCCACCCGACATATTTGTTGACGTGAGAGTTGCTTCAGCCAAGTGTACTGTATATTCGCGATAAATCTGTATACGTGACGTCATTCGCTTTTTAATAGTACATTATATAAATTATGGATTTTGTATAATGATATAATATTTATAGAATCGATGATGGTTTTGTAAGGAGTCAATCCTTAAAAGAATAATATGGCACGATGAATCCTGAACCTTTGCTGTTTTTTATTAAATATGAAATATGATTTGTAATTGTTGAGCGTATTAGAACTCGTATCATATTACTGAGTCTGGAATTAAACAGGAACTCGGACGTTTTGGGGCAGTTCTGTAAATTTTTGACACTTAACTACAAATTAAATTAAATATAATAAATGTGTCTGTCGATAACTTAATTCCAGCCAGAACTACCCTGAATTTTAGGGGATATTTCGAATAATTTCGGGAATTAAATTTCGTTCTTTCACACATACAGTATGTCTGAAATGAACGAAACCATAGATTCTCTGAAAGAGCAATTATCCGACGAGGCACTGAATGATTCTTTGACTTTGGGTCAACTGAAAAGGATTGTCAAACAATTCCCAAATAAACAAAAGGCAGGTAAAAGGAATTCTGCAGTTTGTTTGCACAAAGTAGCCTCAACTCAATTTTGCTCGTTTGACCTATAGCCCAAAGAAATAGCTTTCTCATACGCAGACAGTGATAGTCTTTCCAATGAAATCGATGAATTCTATAGTTATGCTGAAATCGCCGAATGCCAGGAAAATAAAAAGATTTTCGAGGAAGGGTTTGGCGAATGTACATACTTATCTCTAATAAATAATCGAATACACTTTTATCTAATACTGGGCTGAGTAATTAAAAGTTCATAAATTATCACTTAGCTTGGACAAATAGTACAAATTCAGAACGCAAAGTATATGTCGAGTATTTACTGGAAACATTGGAATTGAAAGATCCTGGTAAAAGATTCTCTTCAGCAAAGAAACTTTTATATATTGCTCAAGGTCAGATTTGCGAAATTAAATTTATGGGTGATCGATTTTCACTGTCGATGCCAAAACACTTTATGGACATCATGCATGAATCGTTCATTATTCTAACCATGATTGCGAATTCAGGAACATTCGGCGAGTTGAAAACACAAGAGAAGCATCTTGAATGGGTAATTGAAAACAACAAACTATTACGAAAGTGTGGAGCTCTCTTGTCATACGCTCAAGCATTGAAATTGGCATGCTGTGCTCACGATCATTACAGGTATACTTTTTGTTTTTTTTTTAGATTCTTCACAATCAACTATCGTACTGACCTTTAATGAAAATTTTACATAGTCGTCTGGATGGTAACCTAGAACGACAGGCATATATCGACGACACAAATATCGAAATTGGTTTCTATCTGACGTTGTTGTATATGTTAGTCGAAGTTCATCGTGGAGACGAATCTTTTGGCGCGGAATTAGGTTTGCCCATTGATTGATATGCGCATTCACTTTCATGCTGGCAAAGTAACGGTCATTAAATTATGGATTTTCACAGCTGATCTCAATCCGCCGTTGACCGTATTCCTGTTTGATGTAGTTGCTTCGTTAAGGGAAAAAGAAAAAAACGCCAAAGGTTACCCAGTCAAAAAGGTGAATTAAGAACTTTATTAGGACCAAAAATAACGTATAAGGAAAGGTGCTGACAAGTCGATGGAACTGTCGAATCAAATACATAAAGTTGCTCCTTTTATTGTGGAAGGTTATTTTAGCAAGTTTCGGCGGGCTAAATGAAATTAGAAAACAGAGAGAGGCGGTACGAGAAATTAATGGGTTGCCACCAATTCAAGGCAAAGGTAACCTGCCTTCATCTTATGACTTTGTTTTACATACAAAATATGTCGATGATTTATTGGTAGATCATTTTCTGCAGGATTGATGCTTAAATCCACTCCCACGGATTATCAAACTTTTCTAACCGAAGTGACACATAAGTATCCAACCTATGTACCACCTCCATGTCCTGTGATTGCGATGTCTTCTATTCCTATCAATTCCTTTTTCAATAATAATCCAAATGGGAATGAATCTTCCCAGCAAAATCCCTCCAACAACGGGAGCAGTGCTCCTACACCGAAATCTCGAAAGCAGCAATTTCAAACGAATCAACGACAGCCATTTATTTTTCCATTTTCAGAGTCCACACCAAGCGTGCCAAAATCAATTGAGGAAGCTGGTGATTTGTATCTCAATTTTATGTATGTGAATCTAGGTACTCTTCAATGTTGGAAAGAGAGAGAAGAGTTGAAAAAAAGCCTGGTCAACGGCGACATTAATGGTGCAGGTTATAAAGGAAATTTTTTTATGCCTGATACGACGAAGGAAATTTTGAGTGGTGACTACAGAAAACAGGATAAGGTGAAAATTAAGGAAATTGAAAAGTTAGAACGAGTAGAAATCCTTTACGTATCCTTGAACTTGGTCCTATCTTAATTGGTGTCAATATATTGTAAATATTCCTTGATCATGATTTACCTTATTTCATAGCGGTCAATTTTTCCTCATTTACCAAATATCGTCATCGTGCTCCTTAAACTTTTATTAGCCACTGTACCTTCAAATACCAGTAATATCAAGGGAAACGAAAACGATAACATTTCCAAAGATGGAACTTCAGCGAACAACGGTAACCGTGGAATTCAATGGCAATGATTTATGAAGTTTCATTATTTTAACCAAGGTCATGTTTCAGATGGTAGCGTCAATTTCTCAGCTCCGAATGGGAATACCATCGAGGAGGTTGATATTAAGAGGCATCGCGAGATTACCTCCAAGGCAGTTTCGGCAATTTTACTCTTAATGTTGAAACATTTTAAATTGAATCGTATCCTTTTTTACCTGGGACTCTTATTTAATCCATTGAAGACATTATTATACTTAAGAACCTTCAATTGCCAGATGTATTGAAGTTCGAATATCTGTCTCAACTTCTGGTCGATGCAAACTGTTTGCTTCTGATTTTCAAAATTCTTAGCCTGCAAGATGTGAGCGTTACTATTAAGGCCAAAAATGAGATGGAAGATCTAAAGTAGGTGTTATTTATCAATGTAATAGGATAAGATATTATAACTAATCTTTTTTTTCCCTCTAAGTTTCTTCCGTTACTGCACGACAATCAATAATGACAATGCGATCGAGGCTGAAAATTCGTTGAACAACCTTGAACATAATTCCTCCAGTGACACCTCCATGCAACCGAAAGATGAATCTTCCAAAGGGAAACAACGGTCTCATCCAAATAATAATTTAAATGAAGATTCAGATTATTGTTGGCGAAATTTCTTTGCCGCTATAAATTTTCTACGAGTATTACAAAAACTAATAAAGAAAAAGACCCATCGAACTTTATCACTTGTTCGATGCAAATCATCCGTAAGCGAGTCATCTCATTTAAGTTGTTTTCCTTCTCGCTTAAAAAGGATGTAACCTTTTGGTTTGAAACAGGCGATACTGAAAAAAATTCTCAAAGTATCTCACCCTCTGCTGGAACTATATGCCCTTAAAGTGCTGAAGAATCAGATTCCTTTTATCGGGAGGAAGTGGAAGCAAAGTAATATTCAAAGTGTTTTTAATCTCTTCATCAGGTTTAAATGATGATATTGATAATGTTGATCTTCGAAGGTAATATGAAAGTGATTACTTCTATATACTTGAACTGTCGTCCGGATTTGAGGGACGAGTGGATAGCATCGGCGGATGCGGATGCTGAGGTTGAAGATGCAGTGGCAAGTATAATTTATTAATTCATTAAGATAATGTTTCGAGGTCTTGATGAATCTTGTATATTATATTAGAGCTGAACCAATTTTGTATGGTTTCCAATGGCAGCCTCAGGAACAAAGTCTTCGAGAACTGACTAAGTTTTACAATGAAAGGAATTATTTTTCCCCAAATAATGGTCAACTAAGCGCCTTTGACAACCGAAATATTCCTGATATATTTCCACCCCATTACACCAAACCTCTTAATCACATCAATTCCGCTTATATGACTGATGATATTATGTTGGATCAATCTTTCATTGAAAACTGGGAACAATGGCTTCAGGAAGAAGTTTACGGTTTTTCAGCCATCAAACCTCAACTAAACGTTATAGACGAATATTATAATGATGATCTGATTAATGCCTTCCAAAATGGTGATGGATCGGAGTGGGATACGCCATTGACTTCATATACTGATGAGAAAGATCCTTTTTCGTTAATCAATTGGAATAACGCCTCCCCATCAGAACTTAGCGAATTTGAACAAAAGATGAAATTTAATGAAAATTCGGTTCGGTATAAATCAAATTTTGTGGAACAAATCTTTGATGCCGAAACGCATATTGATCCTGATTTAAAGGAAGTTGATACGAATTATTGTTGGCCTGATGAGATGCTAGATCGAATCGCGCCCGAAGAAGTGATGATATACCAGCCTACTCCTTATCAAAGTGATGACGAAAGTTAATTGCTTCTACAGAGATTGTTTTGTTAACTGCGTTAACAATCCTTTTTGAAAGCGATTTCTATGTTTATAGTTTACATTCACACATGGTTCGAGCCTACATATCACCATCATTCTTTATATTGCATTTCGGGCTTGATTATAATTTACTTGTAAATTCTTGTTACAATGTTCATTTAATGTTTTTGTAATTTTAACGTTTTCTTATCGACTCTTAATAGCTTATAATTATTGGACTTGTTACTCAGTCAAAATTAAATTTGTTGATCCATGTAAATTTATACAGTATTTAAAAAAGAAATTAGGATTATAATATTATTAAGCAATATTTTTTAAATGGAATAATATTCAGTGTTAATTAAAATATAACTATATACAAAAAATTTTTATTATGCTGAATTATTAATTTAAAATATTATTATTGATATTATTATAATCATAATTATTATCTATTTTGAATTATTATGATTATTTTTTTTTTGCAAGGCACTTCTCAAACTGTGATCTTTTATTAATTGTTGATTCAATTTTTACAAAAAAAATTAAGTATAAAATTTACAACAATAATTATATATTGAGATGTATTGCTATAAACATTGACTTATATCACATTAGATATATTCTACAAAGCCTATAGAAAAAAGTAGATGAAACTATCTATTTATAAATAAAGGAATAAATCCTTTTATAATAAAAAATATAAAAAATTTTATATTTGTTAAAAGAAAATAATATTAGAATATATAATTCTTTTTTATTAAATATAATTAGTAAATAATTTATAAAAAAATTTCATATAAATATTAATATTGATTACTATCTTTAGTTAAATGGTTTGCCTAATTGCAGGTAATTGGATCTTAAAAATCTTTTTATAAAAGTTTATTTGTTAAAAATAGGTACTATTTTCAGTTTTTTACTTTCAAACTTCCTCTTAAAACATTATATGATTAGAAAATAGAACTTATATATTAGTAACAATTGTAAACAAGCAGAGCTTTGGCATATTTGTATTAATTTCTACTCAATAGAAAAAACTAATAATAACAAATGATATGTAAAGAAATATCTATATAGTTTAGCATATATAAAAATTAATTAATGTAATTTATATATAGCAATATATATAAATATATATAAATATTAATCTTAATAAAAGTTTGCTAAGCAAGATTTATTTTATTTATTTATTTTTTTTTTTTGGGTTTCCCCAGTAGGTAAACATCATTTCTTTATTTTGGTTTGTATATAATAAAGTATACATCGTTGAAAGAAACAA